GACCGCTCTCTTATTTGTATTTCTGTTAGAGATCTTCCTGGGTAAGTTATTCTCATTTTGGATACTGAAACGCTCAGTCACCAAACTCTTTATTGTCGCTCTTAAAGCTGTTCATGATCTGGATCTTGTTCACCCTTGTGGAACCCTTCACTTGGCTCTGCAGTCCTGCTGTATTGCTACCACGTTGGCCTTTCCATTTCTTAAATAGCCCATTTCTACCTTAGGGCCTTTCTCACTAACAGTTACATCTACCTGGAATCCTCTTGCCCAGGGCTTTCTCATGACTGGCTCCTTCTTATCATCAAAGTCTGAGCTCTAATGTCACCTGCTCAGAGAGAACTTTTTTGGTTTTATAATCTAAAATGAACCCCTCCCCCCATCATATTCTATCTCACTTTATTATAATCTGAAATGATGTTGCTAATTTACTTATTTATTTATTTTTTGTCTGTCTCAGCCCACCCTACCCCCAATAAAATGTCAGCTGCGTGAGAAGGGACATTATCTGACTTTTCACCATTGAATTAAAAAAAATATTTAGAATAGCAACCGGCATTTAATTCTTTTTTAATTAAAAAAGAATTTCTTTAATCTTTTGCTGAACTAAGCAAGGGATTCAGAATAATGCATCGTGATCTAATCAAAACACCAACTAAAATTACATTGTTTTTCATGAAGGGATCTTAAATAAAGATTTTTATGGCCCAATCCCTCATTATCATAGAATCATGGAGAGTCAGGTGTGGAATACCTTAAAAGCCCTTAGTTCCATCAATGAGCTGATGTCTTCTGTGAATATTTTCTGCCACTAGAAAGTGATGCTTCAGTACCTCCTGTGATGAGTCGTTCACTGTCTCCCGAGGCAGTGTTTTCCATCTTCAGCCATCTTAGCTTGTTAGAGGGTTTTCTGTATTTTCAGCAGACATCTACCCATCCTAACTTCCATCCATTAGTCCTGGTTTGTCCCTTGAGGGACCAGAAGAAACAAGCTTTTTCCTCATCCACATAATAGGCCTTTAAATGTTTGAAGATGACTGTCATCTGTTTTTTTCTCCTTAGTCCTTTCTTCTTCAGCTTAAATATTTTTTGTGTGTGTTCCTTGCTCATTTTTCTTTTTCTTCTCTGAATGCATTTATAAAAAAACTAGTGTAGTCCAAGTAGTTGAATAAATCAATATAGTCTTGCCACAACACATTTTAAGATCAAAAAATCAATTGGGGAATGAATTCCAGTTATGATAAGTGTAGTTTAATACATTTAATTTTAGATAAAATAGTTCTGGAACAGATTTAATTATATCTAATGCTGGTTCATTTTGTCACTGCAGTGGTTTGGTGACCTTGTGACTCCTGTGTGGTGGGAAGACGTCTGGCTGAAGGAAGGTTTTGCTCACTATTTTGAATTTGTTGGCACAGACTACCTCTACCCTGGCTGGAACATGGTAAGTGCACTTATCTTTAATTGTATGGAACTTTCAGTGAAAGACTGATCTGGTATTGCTTTAGGGTTATGTTATGAACAGAGGTGACTGAAAATACCAACTGATACATGAAAGAATTACATGTTCAGTAAAGAAAAAGTAATCAGAAATTTAAATGATAGTATTACAAAAGAGTTACCTTTTATTAGCAATGAAATAGAGTCTGATTTCTTATACATTGATTTAAAAATGCTACAACTTTTCCATGAGGAAATATTTTTCATTGTGTTATTTGATAATAAAGTATCTTTTAAAATAGAGAAGGTTAACAGTAACTGATAAATGATATTCTAGATGTATATGATATTTCAATATATAGAGACATGAGAGCTTAACATTTCTTCTATGTGATGACAAAAAATTAGCTCAAGTATTTGATGCATTATTGTTGGAGATAGATATGATTAGGATTAAATGACTTAATAAGAGGTCATTAGCTTTATTTACGAAGAGCTGTGTACATTATACTCATATTCTAGGAAATATACTTGTACATCTGTACTTGAAGTAGGATTTGTTGTCCTTTAAGCAATGATGTTCTAGAACATTCCAGAA